GGTGCTGGAACCTGCACTACGGCTGCGCTGCTGCTGCTGCTGCTGTCCTGCGTCTGTAATTGCTGCTGCTCTATTACTGTGCTGCTGCTACTGCTGCTACTGCTTTAACCCTAACCCCCCCTAATTCAAAATGGTTTTAAAGGGCGGGGCTTATTCCGGGTGGATTGGGGCCGATGTATTTTTATAATTTGGGGGGCATTTAATAAATGGGGGAAGCGATTAGTAGTAACAGTAGTGGTAGTAAGTAGTAGTAGTAGTAGTAGTAGTAGTAGTAGCAGTAGTAGTAGTAGTAGTAGTAGTAGTAGGTAGTAGGTAGTAGATAGTAGGTAGAAGGTAGTACAAAGTAGTAGTAGTAGTAGTAGTAGTAGTAGTAGTCGTAGTAGTAGTAGTAGCAGCAGCAGCAGAAGAAGTAGTAGTCATGCACCTTGCCAGGGTCATTTATTTGTGCCGCACTCACCTGTGCCTCGAGATACCTGTCATGTGCAACGATGTGCCCCCCATCTTCTTTCTAGAGGTGCGTTCCACTCAGGAATTCATGCAAAATCACCTGCACCTACATTTGGAAACAAGTCCGAAATCGCCGATCTAATGCTTCACTACCTTATGATCGCCACATGTTCGTGATGGAAGGCAAACACGTCACAAGCGAGAGGAAAAAGTCACAAATGATTCGGAAATGTTACTCCGGCTTGGAATGGCTGCGCAGTAGACATCTGCTGGCGTGTTCGTCTTACAGGTGTGAACTACAATGGCATGCCGTGTTCATACTGCCTATGCGTTACGCCTTGTACCATGCGAGTCCACGAAGTGGGCAGGCGTTCCCGGCGGCTTCGTCCTGTAACTCTGTTCCTGGACGTCGTGCCTTCCTTCCTTCCGCACAGGTTCTGGTCTGAGACGACACCAAAGGCGGTCAGGCTCTGGTCTCTTGACTTGTTGATTCCCCGAAGCCGTTTCAAAACGGGTATGTTTCACCACATGACAGTTGTTCGACAGCCAAGTGCCGCGCAAGAAGCCCAGTGCAAACCAAGCCTCAAACTGGACTTGAATGTGCTGTCTCATGTCAAAGACATCTTCCACAACGAGGCGAGCACAGTCCCACAGCACCAGGCCTGTCAAGACCGCTTGCACGTCGTCACGAGGCATGGTCGTCTTGAAAGACACCCTTCAGTTCAGCCCCAGCCCACACGGTGCTGTACTGTATCACACCCGGTTGTGTCGGACCACTGACCAGGGCCTGTGAGTGTCATCAGTGATGAACCGCATGTCGTGGGAAGGCCACCGGCCTGCATTGAAGATGGCAAACCCACCAGTCACTAGTGTGGCCTGACCCTTGCTGGTCTGAGGATGGCGGATGAAGGCGTGATAAGAGAGGATACCGATATCTAGATGAAACAGATATAGATGAAGCATGGCGTCCAAGTTACATTCACCCACAAATCAAAGTCTACATAGATGGTGGCAGGCGACAAGCCTCCAATGTCCAAAGCGAGCCTCAGCTGCTCAAGGATGTTCATGTCGGGGATTGTGCTGCAGTTTATCACCGACCCTCGGGACATGAGGTTTTCAATGCGGTGAGCGAACCGACGATGCTGATGCATGGTGCCTACCGCTGCACCCGAAAGCATCGTAAGAAGTTGCAGAATAATCTGCCCTTGATTGCCAACTTCACATGCAAACGTCGCAGCATCGTATGATGCTGCAGACGGCTCTATGCAGGCACGAGAATACGTCGTGAAAAGAAGCAACACCCTTTGCCAGCTGCAGCGCGATTGTGCGTGTGCCATGAGCAGCATAGCATCCTGCATAAGAATGGAGTCTGATGGGAAGCTCGGCTGAACCTTCAGTAGAATGGACAATGCCGGCTGCCACTTGCTGGCCGTGCCGCAGGCACCTGCGATTGTGCTGATTGCAGCCATGTCTAGCTTCGGTTGCGGAGCGGCCAGGTGCAGGGCCAACGTCCACAGCTGGCCCCGCTGACATGCATGCAGTGCAGCGGAACAGGCTTGCAAGTTCACTCGTACGCTGTTCACGCCATTTGCCATCAGTGCAAGCACGGCTTTCTCCCACTGCAATCCGCTGGCATAGCCGGCAACGACAGCGCTGCAAACTACCATATTCACCCGGAGGCTTTGCATTTGGAACTTCGTCAGGAGCATCTGAGCATGTCGCCATTGTTCTGCTTTTTCACAAGCGCTGATAGAGGAACCGGATGAAATGATGTTTATCGGCACGTCTGCAGTCATGAATCCAACAAGGAGATCTAATGTGCACCGCCACAGGGCCTTCTTCTCGCAGGTATCTATGGTGATGCTTGGTGTCACCTCGCTCAATCGCAGCCCCCGCTTGTATAAACGCTCCAAGGCTTGGAATACGGGTCGCCACTGCGTGCTCCTACACAATGCAAGTAGCAGGACATTGTAGGTCGGAGTTGTAGGCTCGACAAGCAGCCCTTGAACCGCTTCCAAGAGAAAGGATGCCTGCTGCCACTCCGTGTTTGCACATGCAGTGTACACAGCATTGTAAGAGATAGTATCGCCTCGAATCCGCAGGCATGGAAGCTCTGCCAACAGTGCGATGGCAGACTTCCACTTGTGAGCTTTCTGACATGCGCTAGCTGCCGAATTGAGTGATATTGTGTCTGTTTGAAGCGCGATGCTTCTGGCCTGTAACCTGAAGCGCAAGGCATGGATCCAGGCACTGCCCTTCTCACACGCGCTGGTGATGGTGTTGTGGGTGACTAGTGTAGGCTGTACATCCCGCCGGCAGATCGTAAATGCAAGTAACAAGGCTTGCCGCCAGCGTGCTGCTTTCCCACAAGCACTACAAACCTTGTTGCAAGCAATTACATCAAGACAGTTCGCCAACCGATTCCGAGCATGAAGTGCTGCCTGCCATTCACTGCCACTGGTCGCCTGTGGCCTGTTCATTCCAAAAGCTAGCTAATTTCAGAAGCTGGTGAGGGCTCCGGGTCGTCTGGGTACCTTCGAACGAGGACAGCATGGAACTCAGCAGACCAGACCTGTCTAACGTATCCGGCAACAAGTCTGCATCTGACTGAGCGGGCAGAAACAAGAAGCAGCAGGCAAAGCAACGCTTAAACAGTGCTCTGCACAGAGTAGTTCCGACTGAGCACCGGGCTGCGATAGTGGCCTGGCAGCTGTAGATTCAGTAGATGTTAATCGGCTACTGCGGCCCTGTGTTTGGTCAGATTAGCCTCTTAAACGCGCTCGGGCCGGCGCTAGCCGAGGACATGTGGCATTTGTGGGGCCTTCTCTTTGATGTGCGTGATTCGGTCGGGTTTTTGCCTGCTAATGGTCAGTTCTAGGATAAGACAAACTGCAACATAACCATGGGTCTTGGTGGCTTTCACTGGTGAACGATGACGGGGGCCTGAACGAAAGAGGGAGATTCATCAAGGACACTTTGTCGTTGATGACGGTGCAACATCTTAAGGAGGATTTGGTCAATGAAGGGATGATGTCTACAGGCGTGAAAGAAGACCTTGTCCGCCGACTTGGAATGAGGTTGGGCATCGACGAACCTCCTCATGCAACTCAGCCAACCACCCGGCAGCTGCGTTTCATCCTCTACACGTGGCGTCACAGACGCCTTGCGGGGCATACGCAGCTTACCTGGAGCGGTGTCGTCACCCGGACGGCAAACTCGGAGTGGTTGGCACAATGGAAGGACGCCGAGGCTACATTGGCCAATGGTGATCAATCCTGCGGGGACTGGTGAAGGAGGAGTGATGAAGTGAGAGCGCCTCGATTTTGTGGCTTGTGTCAACTCTGTGTGCCCGACAGCTTTGGCACAGCTGGATGAAAGCCATGATCGGCAGAAGCCAGCCCTTCTATGCGCAAGATCTTGAAGCTGATCAAGCACTCCTTTGGTCGAATGCTTGGTTCGAACTGTGTAAAGATGCTTGCCATGATCGGCAGAAGCCAGAGAAGCAACAGCGAACAATACCTTTCTGTGTCAAAAGGCTTTATCCCTAAATTCGAAGCCATGCTTCTTTCCGCACGGTAATGGCCCAGACCGAGACGACGATGAATCCACCCGGGCCCTACCTAAAAAAACCTCGGAACCTGGTGTTCCTCACACTACTACTACTACTACTACT